GAGGAAATTAAGGATGTGAGAAAAGGCTTGAGCTTTGTTTTGCATGAGAAAGATCCAAGTCTCATGGGAGAAGTCATCCATAATGGTTAGGAAGAAATGGGATCCATCATGATTGGGAACAGAATATGGTCCCCAAATATCAAGATGGATAAGGGCAAAAGGGGTATTTGTGGAGGAAGTGCTGATGGGAAAGCAGATTTTGGGTTGTTTAGCAATTGGACAAATTGGACAAGTTAAACGAGGAATGGAAGCACTATGACCCAATTGTTGATGAAAAATAATAGAATTATTATTCATATTGGCATTACAATAATTGAATTTCTTTTTGCTAGAAAAAGAAAACGAAAAAGTCTCCCAATAGTATAACCCATGATGGGCTTTACCCAAGCCCATCTGTTTGCCAATCGAGGGGTCGTGAAAGGTACAAATATTAGGCAGAAATTGTAATGTGCAATTATTATCAATGCAAAATTTTGATACAGATATGAGGTTAAAAGTGAAATCAGGGACAAAAAGGACATTTCTAAGAGTTATAAAGTCATTGAGTTTGATTGATCCTCTATGGGTTGCCGAAGCGATGGTACCATTAGGCATCCTAACAGAAGTAGATGTAGTGGGTTTTGCGTGTGTCTGGAAATATTTAGGATCGCAAATTATGTAATCACTAGCCCCTGAATCAGTAATCCATAAATTACGGGAAATTGGATTGCTGAAACAGAAAGAAATACCTGCATAACTGGCGGAAGCGTTGGTGGTAGGTAGTTGATTCAGCATGTGGATGAGTTGGTTAATTTGTTCAAGTTTGATCAGATTGGATTAAGCATCAAATCCTGTGGATGTGGTGGTAGTCACACTATTTGTCATTGGATTGCCATTTTTAGGACAACCATGTAATTTTCAGCAAGTTTCTCGATTGTGATTCCTTCTCTTACAATAGTCAAAGTACATTTTCTTACTAGATCGGGATGATCATGAGCTAGTAGATCCATATTGGAAATTCCCCAAATATGGACCATTGGATGGATTGCCATTCTGTTGACTATTGACTCTATTGACTGTGTTGACCCCGTTGATCATGTTGACTGTTTGCTGGCCATTGGATTGTTTGGCTTGATCTTGGCCGTTGATCCCTTGGTATAAAAGGGTCTCCTTTTCATTTGGAAACTCTAGCAGCCAATTTTCCCCACCTTTGGTCTCTCCATTTTCAGCAACAAAAGCCAACGAATCACCCTACTGTGGTGATTCTATGGAGGCTGAGCACTAGCTTTCATCTTGAATGGCAAGCTGCTACAGCCGACGAAGAGAATGAGGGGATGTCTTGGCAAGCATCTGAGTTCGGAAGGAGAGAAAGCTCTCGTTCAGGCCGAGAAGAAAGTGGATCAATCATTCTTGGTCCTTGATCCTCTGAAACTGGTGAAGAGTTTCGTTGGGCCTTGCAGCAGCTTTGTGATAGCGTCAAGCTCATTCCAGATGGACGACAACCTGTTGTAATACACGGTAACCATGTTGTTGTTTTGTTGCACTTCGACAAGGCTTTGCTGGAGAGTGAAGATTTTTTCCAGATCCAACTGCCCATACATGTCCTTTATAGATAGCCATAGTTCTTCTGCGATTTCTGTTGGTGGTAAGCCGGCGGCAACATCCTGGGTCAGGGAGTTGCTGATTCAAGCACGAACCAACATATTGCATCTCGTCCAGTGTTTTTGAAGATTTGCTTCGACTGGTGGTGCGACGGTGCCATCGATGAAGTCGTCGTTGTCTTTGGTGATCAACGCTCGATGAAAATTACGAGCCTATGTCACGTAGTTTTCAAATTCGATGAGGACTTGTTTGACTAGAAAAAGTTTAGGCCTATTGGACGGTGAGGAAAATAGAGCATCTCCAGGCTTCGACCAGTGATGTTGAGGTTGGACAAGCTGGAATTGGAGGGGTTGCGTGTTTGTGCTAGAACTCGTATACCTGAATGGGAATTGGTTTGGGCTAGTTTGGTTGGATGGATGGGTTTGGGCTTGTGGGCCATTTTGGCCATCTTGATGGTGTTGTGTGTTTGGGTCGAGGTGGATGTTGGGCTTGGTTTGGTTATTAGAGACTGTTTGTGTGTTGGGGCCAAGCTGGATGTTTGGGTTTGTTTGTCTCTTTAGGCTGGATTGAGTGTTTGTTGGAATGTGGGTTGAGTCGAAGCCCATGTTTGGTGTGTTGGGTTCCATTTGTGTTGTTTTATGAAAAAAAAAAAAAAATTTGATTTGTTTTTTTTTTTTTTTTTTTTTTTTTAGGTGAAGCAATACCAGGGAGTAGAGTTTGAGCGGTAACAAGAGAGGTAGGGAAAGCTTTGCTAGAAGGCCTGCTCTGATACCATGTAAGAACTTGGAATTGAGAGTGGCAAGATAGGGTAGTAAGGCTACCGAAGTATGCCAAGGAGAGGCTGGATAGGTAGGAGAAGCAACTTGGTTGCTAAGTTTTCCGAGAGAAAAAGACTGCAAGAAAATAGAGAGAAAGAATACTTTGTATCTGATTGATTGTATTCATGTACAATGTGTCACAATTTATACAAGTATAGATGTAACCTATAAAGAAAGCAAATAATGTAAAATAAATACATCATCATTACATAGAAGGTAAATAACACCATTTCATGATTTTAGCTTACTATATATATTGAGATTATATCAATTATCTCCATTAATCATGCATTCATTTAATACTGGATTGTCAACAAAAACTACCTGAAAAGAATGAATATGCAACCAAATATCAGTTAAAGTTAGTGATTGAGGATGCAACTATGAGAACAGGTCACACATGATACCAGGAGATAAAAGGTATACATAAGATCATAATAGTCTTCTACTTACATGTTCACAAAATAACTTTCCACTACTCCTGACAGAAAAATTTATGTACATGATGAAAATTAATAATTGTTAACAGAGACAACACTGAAGAGAAAAACATAGTTTCCTAGTTTACTTGAGCGAGATCGTCTTCTCCAATAGTACCAAAAGGTATAATTTTGGCACCAAATCTAGTTGTTGATAATCCTAGGATTATACTGTTTTATCTAGGCTTTTTGGCTGGATTTTGGATACTTCTTATGTCTTTTTGCCTGAATTACAACTTAATTTCATATGTTTTATGTTTCAGGCCAAAACATGCACTTTGAGCAAATAAAGAGCGGAATTGAGTTTCTGGACCCAGAAGCAAGCGAATCTCAGAATTCGAGGAAGTTTTGAAGTGGATTTGAAGCACTATGAAGCTTGTTCCTATTGGAGAGCACCAAAGATTGAAGATTCAAGCAAGGAAACAAGCGGAGGGCAATTTTGTAATTTCATAATTGTTCAAAACAGTTCGCTGCGGCGATAAACTCTCGAGAACTCACTGTCGTGGCGAAGTCTGCAAGTTCCAGTTTTTATTAAAACGTACAGTTTTGTTTTAGGTGAGTTTTAGGTTTTCGTGGACCGACTATATAAGAAAAACTTAGCCATTTTAGAGGGAGCTCGACATTTTTGGGAGAAAGAAGAGAAGATTGGAGATTAAACTCTTTGGATTCATCAAATAGGGAAGATTTTTGTTCTTTTTTCTTTATTCCAACATGTTGAATGCATTGTTTACTATTTTTATTTCTATTTGTGTTAATTTCAGTATGAACTAACTCATTTTGGGTTAGGGTTTTGATGTAATTAGGATTTTTATGTTTAATCAATAGATTATTGTTGCTTTTACATTCTATTGCATGGATTGTGTGATTATTCTTGTTTTTACTGAATTTATTTGTTAAACATGATGAGACTGAGAACTGAATCATGTATAAGCTTCTTAGGGTAATCGCCATTGTTGTATTGAACGTTAGAGATAGGTTTGAGAATCAATGAAATAAATTTAGGATTCCATTAGCTTAACGAACTTGGAACTATTAATCTTCAATTTGTTGGGTGCGGAAGCTTAATAGGGAAAAGTAGGAAAACATAGCCTAAGAAGGTATGTTTTACACATTAGGGAGTCCGATTTATAATCCGTGCATGTGAGTGTAGAAGTAGCATAATTCGTAGATTATTTCATAAATTCTTAGTGAAGTCAAAACCCTAACCACTTGCCTTAATTGATATTTTCTCTCGAATTAGTTTTACTATCATTAATTAGCCTTTTAAGTACATAGTAAATTTTGTTTTCCCTTTAGCTTAAATTCCTCCCGCAAATCCAAACATTTTTCGTTTTCTCCAACTTGACAAACAACTTGGAAAATCAGTGCTTAACAAACAATTCTCGTGGGAACGATACTTTACTTATCACTTTATTACTTTGTGCGACTAGTGCACTGGCTACACATTGCATGTTGTAATTTCAATGTATCAAATTTTTGGCGCCCTTGCCGGGGATTGATTTTTGTGTTAACATTGAACTTTTCTTGTGTTAGCTAGATTGGAGTTCAATTTTAGTTTTAATTATTTTCTAGTTTAATTTTACTGTTTTTCTTTGTTAGCTTGTGATCTCACGCTTTCTTTCTTTCTGTGTAGTTTATGCGAAAAGCTAGACGTCATCTAGTGGTTCCTATTGATCCATAGATTGAAAGAACCGCAAGAAGACTTAACAGAGACAGAAGAGAACAAGAGGCTATAGTCATTGAGATGGCGGAGAATAGAATATTGAGGGAATTTTCAGTACCTATGGTTGATGGCAGTGGTCCAAGTATAACTAGGCCACTAGTGCAAGCCAATACTTTCTAAATAAAGTCGACAATCATCCAGATGATCCAACAGTCAGTTCAGTTTAAGGGAGATCTAAAGGAAGATCCAAATTCATACATTGCAAATTTCTTGGAGATCTGCGATACCTTCAAATCAAATGGAGTGTCAGATGACGCCATCAGATTAAGATTGTTTCCTTTTTCATTAAGGGATAAAGCAAAGGGATTGTTAATGGCACTACCACCAGAAACAATCACAACTTGGAATGAATTGGCATAGAAGTTCCTCACTAAATACTTCCCTCCAGTGAAATCTGCAAAGATGAGAAATAATATCACATCGTTTCTATAGGATGAGACTGAATTGATGTATGAAGCTTGAGAAAGATACAAGGAACTGCTGAGAAAGTGTCCACATCATGGGTTGCCAGTTTGGATGCAAGTCCAAACGTTCTATAATGGGTTGATGGTTAATGTGCAAACGATGGTGGATGCGGCATCGGGAGGAGCATTGCAAAACAAGACACCTGAAGAAGCTTATGAGTTGCTTGAAGTTCTGGCAAGTAACAACTATCAGAGACCTAATGAGAGAATGCAGTTGAAGAAGTCTATGGGTCTTCATGAAGTTGATGTTTACATGGCCATTTCAGCCCAACTTACAACACTTCAGAAGCAATTGGGAGGTATGCAAGTGAATTCTATTCAAGCAGCTCAACTGACTTATGATTTTTGTGCAGGTAACCACGTGAGCAATGAATGCTAAGTGGGGAACACCTTCGCTTCAGCTTTATTATCATCGGAACAAGTTAACTACTTGGCAGGGAATCAAAGACAACAAAACAATCCTTATTCCAACACATACAATCTTGGTTGAAAAAATCATCCAAACTTGTCTTGGGGCAATCAGAACCAACAGAATAACCAATGGAATAAAAGAACAGTGCCAAACAATCAAGTGGGGGTGAATAATGAACCAAGGGAGCAAAGATTGTCAAAATTGGAGGACGTGTTTGGGAAATTCATGCAAGAGACCACAGGTTTCATGAGTGAGACAAGGGCAAATTTTAGAAACCAAGGGAGGTACAGGTAGGGCAATTAGCAGAAAAACTGAATGAGCGACCACAGGGTTCCCTACCAAGCAACACAGTGACAAATACACGTGAACAAGCGAATGCAATAATGCTACAGAGTGGAACAGTCTTGGAAGAGATGGAACAAATAGGGAAAGAAGAGAGCCCACCAAAAGACAAGGAAGATTCTGATGAGGAAGTCGATGAAGAGATCATTGGTGAAGAAAAACCAACAAGTCCCAGGGAAGATGAACCAAAGAAGGAAGAAAGACAAAGACAAAAGAAAGAAAAATTGCCATTTCCCGACATACCACCAGAGTTGGCACATCACACACCTCATGTGCCTTTTCCTCAGAGGCTCAAAAAGAAAAATCAGGATAAGCAGTTTACAAAATTCATTGAGATATTTAAAAAACTGCATATTAACATTTCTTTTGCAGATGCCTTGCAACAAATGCCGAGCTACGCAAAATTCCTCAAGGAAATTTTGTCAAACAAAAGGAAGTTGGAAGAGGAGGAAACAGTGATGCTTACGGAGGAGTGTAGTGCCATTCCACAGAAGAAGCTGCCATCGAAACTCAAGGATCCAGGGAGTTTCACTATCCCTTATGTTATGGGAGATATTACTTTTGATAGAGTTTTATGTGATCTAGGTGCAAGCATAAATCTAATGTCTTTTTCTGTTTTCTAGAGACTAGGGATTGGTGAAGTGAAGCCAACGACCATTTCTTTGCAGTTTGTAGATAGATCCATCAAGCATCCAAGGGGCATAGTTGAAGATGTATTGGTCAAGGTGGACAAAGTCATCTTTCTTGTAGACTTTGTTGTGTTGGATATGGAAAAGGACAAGGAAATGCCTCTCATCTTGGGGAGACCATTTCTTGCCACCAGAAGAGCCCTAATTGATGTGGAAGAAGGAAAATTGCTTTTAAGGGTGCAAGATGAAATGGTGACATTCAATGTTTTTTAGGCCATGAAATTTCCATCAAAGTCTGATTCATGTTTTAGTGTAGACTTGGTGGACAGACTAGTAGCCAATGCTATTGAAGAGAACACCCCTCAACTACCTTTAGAAGCTTGCATTGCCCAATAAAAAACAATAGAGGTAGATGAGCCGGCAAAGAATGAGTGTGCTAGACTTTTGAAAGCACTTCAGCCAATTACCGCAAGTCAAGATCCAGAATTTGAAGAATTTGACATTGAAAAAGAGAAGGAAAAGGCAAGAATGAAAGAACCTCCAAAACTTGAAATGAAGCCTTTACCTTTTCACCTCAAATATGTGTATCTTGGTGAATTAGAAACCTTTCCGGTGATCATCAACACAGGGCCGAGTAAATTAGAGGAAGAGCGATTGATTCGGGTGACAAATCAGCAATTGGATGGACCATATTGGACATTAGGGGTATCTCTCCATCTTTTTGTATACACAAGATACTCATGGAAGATGATTTTAAGCCTAGGGTGCAACCACAACAGAGATTGAATCCTTCTATGAAGGAAGTGGTGAAATGTTTAGATGCAGGCATAATCTATCCTATTTCAGATAGTCAATGGGTGAGCCCAGTGCAAGTGGTTCCAAAGAAAGGAGGTATCACGATGATTAAGAATGACAACAATGAATTGATACCAACTAGGACAGTCACAGGTTTGAGGGTGTGCATTGATTACATGAAACTGAATGAAGCAACAAGGAAGGATCATTTTCCACTTTCTTTCATCGATCAAATGTTGGAAAGATTGGCAGGGCATGCCTATTATTGTTTCTTAGATGGGTTTTCAGGTTATTATCAGATTTCCATTGCTCCTAAAGATCAAGAGAAGATGACATTCACTTGTCCTTATGACACCTTTGCGTACAGAAGGATGCCTTTTGGGTTGTGTAATGCGCCAGCCACATTCCAGCGATGCATGATGTCAATTTTTGGTGACATGGTGGAGCGGTTCATAGAAGTCTTCATGGATGACTTCTCTGTGTTTGGTTCTTCTTTTGATAATTGTTTATCTAATCTCTCATTTATTTTCGAGCGATGTCAAGATACAAATTTTGCGCTTAACTGGGAGAAATGTCACTTCATGGTTTAGGAAGGAATAGCCAAAACAGAAGTGATTGAGAAGCCGCCACCACCTGACAACGTTAAGGCAGTTCGGAGTTTCTTGGGGCATGTGAGGTTCTATAGACGGTTTATCAAGGATTTCTCTAAAATCTCTAAAACCCTTTGCAATTTACTAATTAAAGATGTCTCTTTTGATTTTGATGATGAATGCATGCATGTTTTTCAAACTCTTAAGAATTTATTAATATCTGCACCCATTATTCCAGTTCCCGATTTGGGGACTATCTTTTGAATTGATATGTGATGCTAGTGATTTTGCATTAGGAGTAGTTTTAAGACAAAGGAAGAACAAAGTTTTGCATTAATTCAGTACGCTAGCAAGACACTAACTGATGCACAGTTGAATTACACCACTACTCAAAAAAGAGTTGTTAGCCGTAGATTTTGCATTTGACAAATTTCGTTCTTATTTGCTAGGTGCTAAGGTGGTAGTTTACACAGATCATTCAACACTTAAGCATTTGTTGGCAAAGCAAGAAGCAAAACCAAGGCTGATAAGATGGATCCTACTACTGCAAGAGTTTGAATTGGAGATCCGAGACAAAAAGGGGTCAAAGAATGTAGTGGCAGAGAATGTAGTGGCAGATCATCTATCAAGGATTGAACGACCAAACCAGGGAAGTGAAGAGGAAGCTCAAATCAAGGAGACCTTCTCGGATGAGAAATTGATGAGAGTTGAAGAAGCACCTTGGTATGTAGATATTGCGAATTATTTATCATCGAGAGTGCTCCCAAATGGCATGACCTTCCAGTAGAAGAGGAAGTTTTTCTCTAACTTGAAGTTTTATTTTTGGGAAGAACCATTTCTGTATAAACATTGTGTAGATAAGATGATACATAGGTGTGTCCCGGAAGAGGATATGTAGAGTATTTTATGGCATTGTCATGAGAAGGAAGTGGGTGGTCATTTTGAAGGAACTAGGACAGTGGCCAAGGTTCTTCAATCTGGATTTTATTGGCCAACCCTATTTAAGGATGCTTTCCGAGTAGTTCAAGAATGTGATTAATGTCAACGAAGTGGAAATATTTCAAGGAGAGGTGAGATGCCATTGAATAACATTTTGGTTGTTGAACTTTTTAATGTGTGGGGAATTGACTTCATGGGTCCTTTGCCAAATTCTTATGGAAATATGAACATCTTGGTGGCTGTGGACTATATGTCAAAATTGGTGGAAGCAGTTGCATTACCATCCAATGATGCCAAGGTGATGGTTAACTTTGTGAGAAATAACATTTTCTCAAGATTTGGAGTACCACGGGCAATTATCAGTGATGGGGGATCTCATTTTTGCAATAGGCAATTTGATGCTCTTCTGGGAAAATATGGAGTGAAACATAGAGTGGCCACACCATACCATCCTTAGACGAGCGAGCAAGTGGAAATGTCGAACAGAGAGTTGAAAAGAATTTTAGAGAAGACAGTTAACGCATCCAAGAAGGACTGGTCACGGAAGTTGGATGATGCATTATAGGCATACCGCACTGCATTCAAGACTCCAATTGGTATGTCTCTGTTTAGGTTGGTAAATGGGAAGGCTTGTCACTTACCAGTGGAACTCGAGCACAACGCATATTGGGCAGTCAAGTAGTTAAACATGGATTTACAAGCTGCTGGGGAAGAGAGGATGCTAAAATTGAATGAACTTGACGAGTTTCGTCTTGAAGCATATGAGAATGTCTGGATTTACAAAGAAAAGACTAAAATATGGCACGACAAGCATATCATGAAGAAGAACTTTGAAGTGGGTCAGAAAGTTTTGTTGTACAATTCTAGACTTAGGCTCTTCCCTGGAAAGTTTAAGTCTAGATGGTCCGGACCTTTCACAGTTACCGAAGTCTACCCATACGGAGTGGTGGAGATTTCACATGAAGAAAAGGGGACATTTAAGGTCAATGGACAACAGTTTAAGCCATATATTGATGGGGTGATGAGTTGCAAGTCACTACCTGTCAAACTCAACATCCCGGAATGAGGATTTGAGTCAAGCTTTCGACTACAAACAAGCGCTTCTTGGGAGGCAACCCAAGTGTTCTTAGTTGTTTGTTTGTTGTTTTAAATTTGTTTAGTTGTTTTGTGATTTAGAATAAATTTAATTTCGTTGTTTTTGGTGTTTCATGTGAATGATCAAATTGGGGCGAAAAGTGGAATTCTCCAGTTTTCGCCGCAGCAATGTACACTTAGCCAAAAATGGATTTAGGAAATTCCAGACTTCGTCGCGGCGAAATTTATTCTTCGCCGAGG